ACACACACACACACACACACACACACACACACACACAGAGAGAGAGAGAGAGAGAGAGAGAGAGAGAGAGAGAGAGAGAGAGAGAGAGAGATGCAAACTTATGGATATGTGTCTCTCCCTCTCTCTCTCTCACACACACACACAGCCATGGAGTGATAGAGATGATGGTGACGCGAGTGGGTTGTTTGGGATGAGTAGCAGTGTCAATGCTGCTGTACTTGTGCAATTAATTTTGTGGTTTGCGGACCAACTCAGAGGGCTCTCCAAGTCTTTTCCGACCATTGGCGGATGTGGCCAGTGCTTTCTTGTTGGTGGAGCCTTCTGTGCTGAGTATGTTGTCTTTTTCCCTCCATCCTTTTATGGACTATTTGCAGCCTCCTGATGAAACTCCGATGAAACAGTCTGGCACAGCCCCTCGTTTGTTGGGCACTTGGCACTTGACCACAAAAACGTGGTAGTTTTTTCCAAACGCTCATTCGAGTGCAATTGATGGCAACTCAGTTCATAATTAATTAGCCAACAACCCATAATTTCACAACCCGATGCTCCGCCAAGTCATAAAAAAGAGAGTCCAGCAATTGAGAGGAAAGACAGTCAACATGCAGAAAGTCAAAAATGAGAAGGATAAAGCCAAAGAGAAGAGGAAGAAGGAATATCAACACAATGAGTCTCCCGAACTCGACCCCGATGGGTCATTCAAAATAGTAAACATGAAAAGACAAAGCCCATCTAGTCACTGACATCATGCGAAGAACGAATCGGCAGTATCCTGACATTTCGTCAGCATCCTGTCAAAACACTACAAAACCAGCCAGTCAGCGTGACCCTATGTCGTGTTTCAACTGGTCGTCAGTCAGTCATCATCAGGGGTCTGCTTCATCGCGAGTTGTGAGGAGGCCTAGTATCCGTTGTTGGGGCAGAAACCCTGACAAGGGTATCTGCCCTGTGTTTTCAATATCCGGCGTTGTCCGGTCTTCAGTATGAATTTTGGTTTGACTTGATGAGTTGGAGGTGTTGCCAAAGTCTCCGCCTTTGATTAAGAAGCCAAAATTATTTTGCTTAGAAATGGACGTCTGATTTCCGACGGATATGATGGCAGGGTTTGATGGTATGACCAATCATTCTCCGCATTAAATAAGGGCCTGAGAGGTGGATGTCCGTGGAAATACTGGGTTTAGAGTTATTTTGCTTTAGACGTTGAGTGGTAAAGAAAGAAAAAAGAGGAGGCGGGCAACCACATTGCGTGCGCAGCCGCGGCACTCAAGCGCAAAGGTTTTGAACGGTTTGGGTTGGGAAAAAAAAAGGCTTTACAGGGATTCAAAACGGCATCGGTGGGTTGAGAGGCCTATGCCCTGCCCTAATAGGATGGAGGCGCACTTGCATTGTGGGTGGGCAGCGGCAGTGTAAGCAGCAGGGGCAGGCTGAAGTCTGCTGGGCTATGGACATGTTACCTACAATGGGTTTGGGCTCTTCATAGTGAAGAGCTGCTCGTATTCAATGTGAAATAGGAGCTAGCGTAGTAGGTTGACATTCCAGATTCTCACCTAATGGATATCAGGATTGAACCCGATGATACACTACTCGGGCTAGCTCCTTTTTGGAGCAGCCCCATCCAGAAGGCAAGTGGCGCGGTCCACTCCACGCTGTCCACAACCTGCATAAAAGAAGAAAATCATGGGAGGTGGTTTTAATGAGAGGATAAGGAGGGGGGGGGGGGAACAGGAAGAAGAAAAGAAAAGAAAAGAAAAAACGAGGCAGTTATGCCTTCATGATAGTGGATGGAAAACAACCATTTTGGCTGTGTGGAAGCACAGTAGGCTCCCACTCTGTTTTAGGTTCGAATATTTTCGCCTCTGGGATCTCTGATCCCAAGGCTGTTGGCAACGCGCGTGAGGAAGGGGGAGGTGAAGGGATTGAGAGAGAGAGGGAGAGGGAACGTGGGAGACGGGAGGAGGAGGTCCTACTCCTCCCAACCTGCCAACTGCCCTCCCCGTTTTCAGGAGAGGGCAGATGAAAAGAAGAGGGGCCTGTTGATCTCAACAGCATGCACCTGGCTATAAGGTAAGGGTCAGGCTCATCATAATTAGAGTTATTTTTATTTTTATTTTTATTTTGTTTGTTTTTCTTTGTTGTACTACATTCTCATAAGGACACTTGTCCTCACAAGGTGCTACCTCTAACAAAAACTGCCAGAGGTAACAGTCAGGCTCCCGTTTTTAGAGGGAACCTGAAAATTGAAGGGTCATGAAGGAAAATACATTGTCTTCTCCTCGACATATCTGTCTTAGAAAAAGAGGTCAGGTATGTCAAACTGAAAGGGGTTGTATCTCTCCAACCCCTTATCAAAAAAATAAAAGAAAAAAACTTTTAGAAATGTCAAAGTCTCAGCTATCTAGTGAATTTTATTTATTTATTTATTTTATTATTATTATTATTATTATTATTATTATTATTATTATTATTATTATTATTATTTAAAGAAAGTTGCCTTCTCCTCATCGGGGGACAGCCATATATTTTTCTCTCACCTCACATATCTTTTAACTGACATTCTGCCATGTTATGAAACATATCTTTCTTTTCACTAGCTACCACTACTCCTAAGGCTATACACGGGACCCCTGCAAGCAGGGTTGTCACGCGGGGCACCCTGGGGGCGAAGCTGGGGTCGGGATTTGACCCCCGGACCCCCGCAGCGGGCGGCAGCGACCCCCATCCCCGCGTACCAACCCCGCGCCCGCTCGAACCCCGGGACCCCCGTGGGCACCCCCCCCCCCCCCCCCCCCCCCCCCCCCCCCCCCCCCCCCCCC